GTTGGGGGTAGGAAGGGGTAAGGGGAATGGGGTTGGGGGGGATTGAGGGGAGGGAGGGGTTGATACGTGGTTTGAAGTCGTTCTTGTGGCTTCAGTGCGAAGGGTTGGGGTTGGGAGGAGGTTTTGATATGGGGTTAAGGGGCTGTGATTTAGGTTTGATAGTGGGTCGGTGAGGTTGTAGTATGTATGTGTGTGTGTGTGTGTGTGTGTGTGTGTGTGTTGTGTGTGTGTGTGTGTGTGTGTGTGTGAGAGAGGAGAGAGAGAGAGAGAGAGAGAGAGAGAGAGAGAGAGAGAGAGAGAGAGAGAAGAGAGAGAGAGAGAGAGAGAGAGAGAGAGAGAGAGAGAGAGAGAGGAGGGAGGGAGGGAGGGAGGAGATAGATAGATAGATAGATAGATAGATAGATAGATAGATAGATAGATAGATAGATAGATAGATAGAGAGAGAGAGAGAGAGAGAGAGAGAGAGAGAGAGAGAGAGAGAGAGAGAGAGAGAGAGAGAGAGAGAGAGAGAGAGACGCGGAGTGAGAGAAGAAAATAAAAAAAGACAAGCAGATAAAGAGATAAAGAGAGAGAAACGCCGAAAGAGAGAAGGAAATAAAGAAAGAAAACCAGATGAAGAGATAAAGAGAGGAAAAAAAAAATACAGAAAAAGGTAATTAGATGAAAGACTAAAAGAACATTCTTAAAAACATACCTCTCTCCTCTCCGGCATTGTGCTTCCTAACATCACTCAGGGAAATTAGGGCATAACTAATCTATATTTGATTAGCATTTAGCGTACTGCATTTACTGCCGCCATTTTTCGCTCTTGCTCTTGCGAAAATGAGAGAAATGAAACCGGTTATAAGGAAGTGAGGGGAAGAAAGAGTAGGAAGGAAGAGAGGATCCTGAGATTAGATAAAAGAGGAGGAAAGCAGAGGGGAAGAAAGGAAGGATGAGGGAAATCATGTAAAGACGAAAGTTTGCGAAAGAAGGAACAGCTTTGCGAATCAGAAACCAAAGGGACGGAATCGGAATATGAGAAAGAATGAAGACGGAGTAAATAGGGAAAGAAAGCGACCAGCAAGAGTTGGAATAGAAGGCGGAAGAAAAGGCAAAGAAAGAAGATGACCCAAGAAAAAAGAAAAATGAGTGAAAGAGCCTCAAGGGACAATTTCGGTTTTGTGGCGCACCTCTTAGAAGATTTTGCTGACTGATATCTATCTATAACAGGCATTGTCCAGCTGATTTTTCATTTCATCTTATTGATTTTGATGAAAGAGGGTTGTATGTGTGCGTGTGTATGTGTGTGTGTGTGTGTGTGTGTGTGTGTATGTGTGTGTGTGTGTGTGTGTGTGTGTGTGTGTGTGGTGTGTGTGGTGTGTGTGGTGTGTGTGTGTGTGTGTGAATTTAAGGTTGAGGAGGTGCATCTAGGAAATACATGTGTGCTTGATATATTCTATGTCCATATAATCATTAATATTTCTCTATCTTTCTGTCTATATATCTCCCTACCTATCTATCTATATATATCAACCTATCCACCTATGCGATTATCCATCTATCCACCGAGATCACTAACACACATGAACCGGTGAAACAACGAACAAAAACAACATGACTTACGTAAACCAAAGTGTCTCTACGGAAAAAAAAATCCGAGAAAACTGGATTGCAAGGTTTCCGAAGCAGCGCCACAAAGCCAGCGCCATTGTATGTATGGTGCGGGATCCTGGACGCTAAAGAAGAGAGAGAAAACGTTGACGGGAGGAGAGGGAAGGGACGAGGATGGCGCTGGAAGGTGGATCTCGAGTGGATCGTTAAATGGACAGGATACGAAGCTGTGAACTCAAGGACACGTCAGCGGAATGCCAGGGAAAATATGTGGAGGTTTAGGTGGAGGTGGATCATACGCGAGGACGATCCAGGTGGAAGGTGTATTGGGAGTGGAGGGGCAGTGTACAAAGGTGGAGAGAGAGGGAAGGGGCATAGACGACGCACATCGAAATCAGGTGACACAAACACACACACACTCATTCAAATACACACACACATCAGCGCACACACACACACACACACACACACACACACACACACACACACACACACACACACACACACACACACACACACATACACACAACACACACACACACACACACACACACACCACACACACCACGCTTATCGCATACTAATAAGGTACAGAAGGAAAAATAAATATTGTATATTTCATAACAATTGCATCATTACAGCAACAATGCACAGAGCCGCTGGGGATAGGACGGAAAATCATTTTCTTTCAAGCACGGAGAAGAGGAGTTGCTGTTTATCATGCTTTTATTTAGCAATCCATCTTTATGTATGTGTATGTCTGTATACAAACACACACACACACACACACACACACACACGCACACCCACATACTCACAGACACATAGATATATTGATATAGAAAAAATAAAAGTAGACAGACAGATACATAAATAGACAGATAGACAGAGAGCCACACACACACAC